GTGCCCCTTTTCCATTAGTACCGGTACTAATGGAAAAGCCTCAGAACCGGGCCAAGTAGGGTCCAGTCAGCCCGTACCGGTACTAATGGAAAAGGGGCACAAGTGTCCTTCAGTGGACACCCGTCTTTACAAAATGGTCAAATAAAAAGCTGCCAGGTAATACAAGAAAAAAAAGGACTGAAGTGAAAAAGTTGTTGCTTTGTGTGTTGCCTGTTGTTCTGTCTGTGCAGCACTTTGTTTGGCCTTGTCGCTGTTTTAAGTGCTCTATAAATAAAATGGTGCGGCATCTTTTCTGGCCCCCCCAAGATGATATTTGAAACGTAAAATACTTCTTATCTCTTGAATTTTTTCAGCAATATTTGATTATATTGTCAAAAGCACAACAAATGAGACCAAACTCTTGTTGAGGAACCTGTGACCAAGAAAATGTTTGTATCTGATGGGAGTCCTTGCAGATGCTGAAACTGGTCCTTAGTTTGAAAAAGGTTTTAATTTTGGCCCCGTTTTGTGAGTGAGTTTGACACCCCTGCATAACGTGCACCACATAAGGTTCACTAAAGGATTTAAAGTGCGCCTTACAGTCTGAAAAATATAATTATTTTCAGGTAATTTTAGCTAAAAAAAAAAAAAGATCTGACCTCGCTATCCAGTAAAATGATCACATCCACACACATAAAATGGTGAGTTCATTACTTAAAAACAGAGATTCTCTAATTATAATTATTTATTTTAATAAAATCACATAAAAAACAAACATTTGATTAGTGCCGTGGTTGCCAGTTCGAGTCCAGGTTGCGTCAGGAAGGGCATCCAGCGTAAAACGATTGCCATGAAGAAGGGATCAGCCAAAAGAAAATTGTATTTTTTAATGTAAATACATGTTATATCTTCAAAACCTCGTATTTACTGAGAGAATAAAAGGGATGGGTCGTGACGAAGCTACGAATTTATGTAGCAAATATCTTTGATTAACTTTTGATAGTGTTCAATTTACTGACGTCCTGCTTGACATGAGATTGTTGTCAAACTTGAATATCTTGGTTTCAAAAAGAAAAAAATATTGTTGGCTTGTTTGAAACCATCCATCCATCCATCCATCCATCCATCCATCCATCCATCCATCCTGAAGTTGGGTCTCTGTGGCAGCAGTTTGAGCAGGGAGGTCCAGACATGTCTCTCCACACTCACCTCTTCCATCTCTTCTGGGACTCCAAGGTGTTCCCAGGCCAACCGAGAGATGGAATCGCTCCAGTGTGTCCTGCGTCTTCCCCGGGGTCTCCTCCCAGTAGGACACGCCTGAAGCACCTCCCTAGAGGTGCCCAGGAAGCATCCTTACCAGATGCCCAAACCACCTCAACTGGCTGCTCTCGGTGTGGAGGAGCAGCGGTTCTACTCCGAGTCTCTCCTGATAACTGAACTTCTCACCTTCTCTGTAAGGAGGAGTCCAGCTACCCTGCAGAGGAAACTCGCTTCAACTCAACTGCCCAGAGTTCTTGGTCATAGGAAGGAGGTCTGACTGGTAAACGGAGAGCTTTGCCTTGCAGCTCAGCTCCATCTTCACCACAACGGACCGGCACAGAGTTGTTGGAAACTAATTTCAGTAAATGTTCAAAGTCGAGTAACCAAGGTGGAGATTTAAGACAAAAACAAGTAGCACAATTTTACACAAGTTTTCAACAACATTCTTTAGCACAGGAAACGTTTTGTTGGTGCCACCGGATCATCTGAGATATTAGTTTGGAACAGCCTGCAGCAGCCGTCCACGAGGAGACACTCGGACAACTTCTGCGCAGGGATCAGATCTTCAGCGACTCTGAAGAGAATTTATATTTGTTTCGTTTGTTGATTGCATCTACGTTTGTGTTTCATAACCACTGCTGCTACAACCTGCAAGTGTCTCTGAATGACATTAACACACACACCAACTGATTCATGTGTGTGTGGGAGAGATCACGTCACCAGTTGTATGCGGTGGGTTGTATCCTCAGCTTCTCGTCACGTTGCACACCGTCTGCTCAAGCTGGTGTCCATATTCAGAGCCAAAGTGTGCTAAGTTGGCCCGCTTTGTGCTGGGCCGTG